AAAATAAATAGTTATAAGCGTTTTTTGACGAACGAATTTTTAGTTAATTTTTGTGCAATGGATTTGCAGAAAGAGTTGAATATAAAACATTCTCAACTTTTTCTTTATTAGGTAAGTAATAGATATTATATTAAAGCTTTTATATAATCATATAACTTACTTGAAGCCTGGTATATATGTTTTTTTAAGTTCAGTAGCTAATAGTTTTACTTTTAACATTAGTATTACTACCAAATTTCTAATTTAGTAAAATTAAAATTGGCATTAGATTATAATTGATAATAGTAAAAACAAATTAGTAAAATCACTTAATAAAATTTTTTATTTATATACTAAAGGTGGTTTTCTATAAAAAATTTTTAAGTTATAAAGATTTTTAGAAAATGAATAATTTTTTTTGATGTGTAACATTATATTTAATTTTATAATCTCATTGGTTTATACTACAAAAATATTATATGCTTATAATTTTTTTTGGTAGGTAGTTTTTTAATAACTACTTTTTATATGCTTTAGAAACTACAGTTTTGTGACTTACAATACCAGAAGATTCATAACAATTATATTTATATAATTTATTAATATATAATAATAATAGTAATAATTTTATAGTATTATAAATTTTATCAATGGTAATAATAATTACACTAATATTTGCATTAATATTTATAAAGATAATCTTTTATTATTATATTTTTTATTAATTATATTTAATTCAATCTTTGCTATTGTATATTATATATTTTTTTAACATTTATGAACATTTATAAATTCACAATAACATAAACTTTGTAACTTGTCTAAACATTAAATATCTTTTATTAAAAGATGCAAGCTCTGAACAAAATCTTATATATTCAACTTATTCAATAAAAATATTCTAACCTATTATCTCTAATATAGCTAAGCTCATAGTATTAATAAATATCTAACTGATATATTCAATAAGTAAGTAATAAAAAATATAATTACATAACTTTTATAATATTAGCTTATGAATATAATATTGGTTTAAGTCAAAAATTTTTGATCAGATATCTGTTATTGTTGTAAAACAAATTATAACACCAAATTATGTTTTTGCAAAAAAAAAATTCATAATATTCAAGAAAATGTGAATATGTTTATATAGAAAATATAAAAATTTTAATTAAGCTATATATAAATATTTAAATGTATTTGTTAATATATGAAAATTCAACTTATATTTAGCATTTAGTGAGCATTTAATAATTCATTTTTATTTATTTTTTATTTATTTAATTTAATTATTAATTTCTACTTTTTTCAACCCTTTTTTTAATTTGTTTTTATTAGTTGGTAAATGGAACTGACTTTAAAACAACACATTATTACCAATACAGGCTAAGTAAAAAGGTTCTAAACCCTTAATTCTAACCTTAAATACTGACCCTAACATGAAAATTTTGTGCTAACAATTTTAAACAAAAATTATAAAAACATATAATATGTTCAAAAACTACTATGTGTGGGTTTTATAATAAATGGTTTAAAAATCACTTGTAGTTTATAATTTTATTTATAAAACCTTTTGTTATATTTCAGTATTTAAAAGTAAAATGTTTTTTGCGCACTCCGCATGGCAGACCCTTGTTGTTTTTAATTTAGTGTAACGTTATACAGTAATTTTGCATTTTAATTGGCTGATTAGGGGATGCACCGCCGTGCAGGTGCGTGAAAAAACTGAACCCATATTTAAAATAAAAAATTTTTGCCAAATTTTTAAAGCTAATTTTTATTTTTATAATTTAATTGGTTTTAATAAAATAAATTTATTAATTAGTGTACAAAAAAATAAACTCAGTTTAGTATTAAAGAAATGACGGTGTTTATAAATTAAATAAAAAATTATTGATAGTGAATATTATATTTTGCCTAACATAATTAGGACCTAGAAATTGAGCATATAAAGAATACAGAGAACCTGAAAGTCCCAAGCTTCCCGAGCTTGGAACTGTGTAATGGTGTGTATATAAAGAGATTTGCACTTAAGTAATGTGTACTTAGATGGATGTTGTAGATGTGCTAGCTTCAGCAATAATCTTTTTTTTTACTGCCTCATATTCACATATTGTTAGGATCTATTGTCAGAATTTTTTCCAGATCGACAAAGGCCTCTTCCCTTTTTCCTATAGTATTATAGGCTGTACTTCGTTCGCATAACGCAAATACATTTCTTGGGTATCTTAACAAAACTTTGTTTAAATCTACCAACGCCTCATTATACTTTCCTAACGTATTATAAACTGCACATCGATTGCATAATGCATTAAATTCGTGAGAGATAACTAAATAAATATCTTTTATCTTTTTCAACATACGATCTAAAACTAATAAAAATTTTTATATAATTTCAAGATTCGATAAATGGTGCCTCTTAACAGTAATGGTTAACACCAATCAGGTGAACTATCTAACACTTTATTTAAATCCTGTAATGCTTCTTCATACCTTCCTAACGATAACAATGCTTCTCCTCGATAAGTCAATACATAAATATTAGATGAATTCAACTCTAATGCTGCATTCAAATCCTTAAGCGCATCTTCATATCTATCCAAATTATTATACACAGCACCACATGCGAAAATTTATTTCGGATCAAGTTTTAATGCTTTCTCAATGTCAATCAATGCTTCATCATAGCTTCTTAGCGCATAATAAACAGCACCACGGTTTGTAAGAGCAAACACACTATTCGGATTTAAGTAGATAGATCTTGTAAAGATTCATCACCTCTCCATAGAATTCTATTAACAGCACTACGACTTTCACAGGCCATTAAGTTATTAGGATCAAGTTTAATCGCTTCATTTAAATCTTTTAGTGTTATATAAACTTGCTTTAACGTTCTGTAGATTTCATCACGTCGAACTAGTGCATATACGCACGTGGGGTCAAATTCTATGACTTCGAAAAATCACTTATTGCTTTTTCATATTCTCGAAGCAAACGATAAGTTTCACCTCTTTTTTGAAGTATTTCCACATCATTAGGATTAATTCTCAACGCCGAATTATAGTTTTTTATAGCATCATCATAATGACCAAGAGAATGATAAATCTCTCCTAGATTTTTTAATAATTGAATATCAAAAGGTTCTATTTGTAATGCAATATTCATATGTGTAAGCGCTTCTTCGTATTTTTCAATCTTTTTAAGAATTTCTGCTTTATTCTTATGTGCATTAAAATTTCGAGATACTTTTTGTAAAATTCTATTAAAATCCAATAAAGCGTCTTTATCTTTATTCAAAGATCTATAAATCATTCCTCTTTGTTCCAATGCCATTATATTTTCTTCATATCGTAATGAAGCTTCTAAATCAATGAGCGCTAAATCATAGCATCCCATAATTCGATAAATGTTACCACGACTTGCTAATATTAAAGCAGAATTTGAAGTATTAAGTTCAAGAGCATAATTTAGATCCTTCAACGCATTATCATAAAGTCCAAGTAAGCAATATATCTTTGCTCTATGTATTATTATAAAAACATTTTGTGGTTTCATAACTAAAGCCATATCTAAGTCTAAGATAGCTTCACTATATCGTTTAATAGAACTATATATTTCTGCACGTGATTTTAACGCAAAAAAGTTCTTTTGTATTTTTAAAGATTTATTTAAATCAGCCAAAGCCATGACATACATAGATCTCAAACGATATACTTCAGATCGAAGAAAATAAGCACGAATTTTTTTTGGTTTTTTTGAAATAGCATAATTCAAATCGTTAATAGCATTATCCCAATCTCCAATTTGACATGCAGCAAAAGCTCGATCACATCTAACTGAATAACTACGAGGAAATTCTTTTAAAATTAAAGTAAATAAATAGATAGCCTCATAATATTGTAAATCTTCTAACGCTTGAATAGCTTTTTTGTAATTTGGATTATAAATTTTTGAATATTTTTTAAATATATAAAGTATTTTATCAACAAAGTTTTGAAGTTTATACCTTGAATTACTTTTCCTATTATGATTTATGCGTGAAAAAGAAGTGATATGCTTTCTACCACTAATATAAGTGTCAAAAAGTGAAATGTGACTAAGGCGACGATTATAATAATTATTTTCATAGTGATCTTGATCAAGAAAATTATTTGAGTCATTCATATTTAATAAGAGACTATATCAAAGGAAGGATAAAATTGTAGGGAACGATACTTTCTTGATACAGAGGTTCTTAAAGTTGTTAAATATTTGATGAGGATGTTCTTGAAAAATTTTTTATGATATGATAATGGTAATATGATATAATAAAAATGAAGATAATCTTGGCGAAGAAATAACCTTTGGTGTTGCTGAGGTTTAAGGAATGATTTTCAATGATAAAATGAATAAATGAATAAATGAATAAGGAAGGGGTAGCACAATATTCAATGAAATTATTTCTATTGCTTTCTGTTTTTTTGGAAATAAACTTTCTTCCGATTTTAAATGAAAATATTTATGTTTTTTTTTCCTGGCTTCATGAAACAGGCAAATAATTATTTAATGGGGTATTAGTTGTTTCATCTGCAAGTGGAATATCCTCTCTTGTAATATTCTTGAACACTTAATATAGTATTTTCGTATTCAATATCCGGTTTCTGATTAATGTACTCAAATCCGGTCAAACATTTGAGTCTGATTTTGTTAGAAAAATTGGTCAAAGTCGCATGCCCGCATTTATTTATGAGTAATGCAAACTCCTAAAGAGGAAGTAGCCAATCGTAAAGTCAAAATTTGACTATTCCAGATCAGCCTGCAGCCCGACATAAAATCCGAACACGTGCGAAAGAAGAAATACTACCTTGACAGACATACGTATACGTAATTAGTGACAATCTATTCCTATAATTCTACCACTAAAGTCCTAACCCTAAATTTTTTTATTTCACGAACTCCTTTTTGGTTTGTGTAACTTACGACAATAAGTAAATCGGTCATAATCCGACTTGAAATTAACCAAATTAGGGATATTCAAAATAAGCATTTATGCATTTTGTTTTACTTTTAATAGAAAATAAATTATTTTTCTATATTTACAATCAAATATTTTATTCGTAATCAATATTGACCTGGATTGGGAGGTGTTCCTGCCCTTGCTATTATGATAAATTTAAGTTACTCATTGCAGAGCTTTAATCAGCAATTTGTTTATTGTGTATCAAAATTGAAGGGAAGTACAGTCGAGGACACAATCACATAGCCTTCCAACTTCTGAGCTTGGCATAACTATATCGCTCTAACTACAAATTATCGTATTTCTTATTTCTGTATTTGTATTTTTAAAGCTCTGTTTATTTCTAGCCATTAAATATTCAATATAATAACAATCGTTAAAAATAACGTACTCATTTAGAAAGTGCTTCTAAATTAGCCCTTCTATAACGGCAAGTTAAATAGAGCTTTATTATGCTTTATTATATTTACAAAAATAAAACATAAAGGAACGTTAAGAACAAAGTTAATCTTATGCAAATGAATGAAAAAAATGCGGATAGATTAAATAATAAATTTTATTAAATCTCATTCATATTGAATTATTTTTGGTTTATGATTATATATTTCATGTTTAAAAATGCCCATCATAATAAATATTTATAATAAGAATAGAAACAATGAACCGAACTGTGATAATCTAAATTTAATCTCATCGGGTTATTCAATGCTTTTTTTTGGTTATAGATTCCTTTACATATTTCTTTTAAACAATTTAATATTTTTTTTTGTTGTATGTAAAATTTAAGAAAGTAGCTTTAACCAAATTTGTCCTTTACAATAATTGTTTGAGCGTAGCGGAGGACACTATTTCTATGCAAAGTGATACAAAAGTTACGTTTCTGATGCTTAAGGTTATTAAAAACGCAACAGAAGGAACCGTCGATGTTACACGACTGATCTTTCACCCGGTGTCAACATATAAACAAATTATTTTACAATACCAGATCATTCCGCTAGTACATGTTATGATTATAATCCAACATAATAAAAATGGTGTTGGATTATGAACTAGCGGAATGATCTGGTATTGTAAAATAATTTATTTATATGTTGACACTGGGTGAAAGATCAGTCGTGTAACATCCTGTTTAAAAACGCATATTTGTGTAGCACAACAAATCTCATGTGATCTTGTTTCGGACTTTCCCGCACCCAAACTTTCTGTGCACAAAACATTCACAATAACGTGTGATCTTATTGGTTAGTTTTAGGGTATGTTTAGATATATCAAAAAAGTAGACATAGAAGTATCAAAAATGTATGTTTTGCTTTTCTGTCCTGATCCGTTTTGTCCGAAGTCGCTGATTTTCAAGAGTCGGTATTTATAAGAAACCATCTTTAGTGCTCTAACAAAAGTTTTCCTTGAGTGATTTTACTATCTAACCTCCTAATCTTCAGCTTCATTCTAAACGCTAATGAATTATAACGAGTTTCAAAGTTTTTACTACGCCACAATGATTGCCACAGAAAACATACCGAAAAGATCTTAAGTTCGTTTAAGTTAGGGTTAACGTTTGTATTAAGGCTATGTTTAGCAAAATTAATAGTAAAATCGCACAAGGAAACCGCACCAAAGGTAGTTTCCTATGCGAGTTTTGTGTTACAAACAAAAATATCGCGTGTCGGGGTCATGGGCAGACATTCATATGATTGGCTAATTTTTGTAGATCTACCCGTGATGTTCCGTGATAATTAACCAATCAAAATTTTATAATTTCAACTAATTAATTTATACGGGTATTAAATTAAAATGCAATATCCTGTAATTATTATTTAATAATTAAATTAAATTAAAAATTTAACGTTAATCATCGATGTTATGCGTCATTTTTAAATTCTGTCAATTATTAATTGACACATGTCTGTATAAGTGCTTTTGGAGTTGGGTTCTTGCATAGTATGAATTGTATAACTTGGATGTTGAATATTATAAGCTTGATGTTCCTGAATATTATGTAATAATTAGCTTGGCGGGATTTTTTAATATATTAAGACATTGATTGTATCCATCAAGCTTCGTTTGTGTATGTTCTCAATATCGGTTAATAGACGCATGAGTTAAAAAAAAAATAATATCGACGTAAATTGAGAAACGACATATGACATTAATAGTATTGGTATTTATGCAAATTTCACACAATGATAGAACAACTAAGAACAACAATTATTATGTAATAAATAAAATTTTATTTAATAAATATCATTTTAGTACAGTCCAATAAATATTGTTTTAGTATGTTTTAAACTTCCAAATTGCTTTCTCTAATGCAAATGGTTTATATTCTATTGATTCTGTTTCTTTATTGTTATCAGAAGAAATATTATTCTTTGGTTTTTTATATTTTTTTTTCTTATTCAAGTTTCGCAAATTTTTAAGTAAAGACTAAACATGTTGATTGATTCCATCTTATAAAAATTCAAGACAATACAAACACTTAAAATTATTACTAGCATAGCAAAATTTATAATAAGAGTGTGCAAGTTAGAATTCTAATTGAGTTTAGGTTAATAATAAAAAAAACAAAACAGTTAGTTGAATTACAATAACAAAATAGATCAGAATTATATAAAGTATTAAAACCTAAAGAAAGATAAGATAAATGCATTTTTGGTATTTTCATTATAGTTAAAAAAATGAATTCAACAGATTTTTCTTTTTCTTTTTCTTTTTTCTTTGAAGATGAATCTATAATAGATAGTAAAAATATCAATGATAATTTATGATAAATTCATATATATAAATTTCAAAAAAACAATACAGAAGAAAACACATGTATTTTTTTTGTTAAGTTAAAAATATTTTATGTAGAATACTTATATATTATCTACATAGAAGTGTGGACAAATTTTTTCTTAAATTCATTACTATTGTTGAGTTTGGAAGATTGTAACTCTGTTGCTTCATAATTCAATATAGCATAATGTACAATAAGTAACCTTTTAGAAAAAGGGTATTAGATTTGACTAGTGGGTGATTAAGACTTTCAGTTACTTTGAGTTAATAAATACATATAGAATAAGTTACATAATCAAGAACTTAAACAATAACATTATAGGAGTTCATAGAGTTTGTTTTTTTTTTTTTTTTTTGGTATTAAGGTGAGGCCTTGCTTATATCTTTATTAATAATTTAAAATAGTTACATATAT